TACCTCCTAATTATTCCTTCATGTGAAATTCTCTAATTTTAATGTATTCTGCACACATGGCACTAATCAGTGGTTTTGTTGATGTGATTTCCTCCATTTTATTTTTTTTTGTTTTGTTTTAAATATTTTTATTTATTTCTAGGAGAGAGAGAGAGAGACAGCGTGAGCAGGGGAGGGTCAGAGAGAGAGGGAGTCACAGACTGAAACAGGCTCCAGGCTCTGAGCTGGAAGTCAGCACAGAGCCCGACGCGGGGCTCGAACCCACGAACCGCGAGATCATGACCTAAGCGAAAGTCGGACGCTTAACCGACTAAGCCACCCAGGCGCCCCTGATTTCTTCCATTTTAGAAGATTACCCCTAGCTCACTAAATCTTAAAATCTAATCTTTATTTTATGTTTAAAAATTTTTTAACATTTATTTTTGAGAGACAGAGACAGAGACAATTTGGGGAGGAGGAGAGAGAGAATGAGACAAAGAATCCAAAGCAGGCTCCAGGCTCTGAGCTGTCAGCACAGAGCTCAAAGCTGGGCTTGAACTCACAAACCTTGAGATCATGACCTGAGCCAAAGTCGGGCACTCAACCAACAGAACCACCTTGGTGCCCCACTAATCTTCCTTTAAGAGTTATTTTTTTCATCTTAACTTTCTTAACTAATCAGACTACACTAATGACACTCTATTCTTAAACTTTTATTATATTTGTTTTTCTACACACTTTGGTATTTATTTGTTATATAGTCATGTTATTGAGAGTAAAGAGTTTATTTTTTTCCCATACTTCACATCATTTGAAATGGTTTTAGAAATAATATCTGACATATGGTAGTGTCTCAAAATACTACTTTTCAATCAGATTGGGCACTTTTATTTTACTTGCTCATTAGTTGTTTATTTGTTTGCTTAGCTAAGTTAGAGCACTCTGGAAGAATTAACCAAACCCATAGAAACAGTGCATACTTTTTGACTACAAATTTCTCTCTCAGGGATTTGTCCTATCGAATAAGTTAAGGAGGAGCTCAAAGATTTAGCTTCCTGGATGTTCATGAAAATATTATGTATAATAACACTTGTGGGAAACCATTAATACTTTACAACAACAGAAGGTGTGAAAGTTTGTATATTCAAGCAAGCACTATACTATTCAGCTTAAAAAGATTATGTCAGGGCACCCGAGTGGCTTAGTTGGTTAAGTGTCCGACTCTATTTCGGCTCAAGTCATGATCTCACAGTTCATGGGGTTGAGTCCCCTGTGGGGCTCTGTGCTGACAGTTTGAGCCTGCTTGGGAGTCTCTCTCTCTCCATTTTTCTCTGCCTCTCCCCTGCTTATGCTGTCTCTCTCTGAAAATAAATAAACCTTAAAAAATTAAAATTAAAAGAAAAAAAAACATTTAAAAAAAGGGGGGCACCTGGGTGGCTCAGTCGGGTGAGCGTCCAACTTCAGCTCAGGTCACAATCTCATGGTTCGTAGGTTCGAGCCCTGCATCAGACTCTGTGCTGACAGCTCAGAGCCTGGAGCCTGTTTTGGATTCTGTGTCTCCCTCTCTCTCTCTGACCCTCCCCTGTTCACACTGTCTCTCTCTCCCTCTCTCTCAGAAATAAACTTAAAAAAACATTAAAAAAATTAAAATTAAAAAATGATATCAATAATTAAATTGGTATAATAACAACACATGATTATTTTTAGTTTTGAAGCAGATAATAACTAAGGCTTTATTTTGATTACCTTTTTGTAAAAATTACTATCACTGTTAATACACACATAGACATAAATATATACAAATATAGGAAGATGTATAAGTGCTAACATTAGTTATTTGTAGTGGTGGGTAAATTATAGTTTTTTAAAATTTAATTGCATTTTCTAACAGTATCATAGTACAGAGTACTTTGAAATAACTATCACAATTAAGACTTTTCTCTCAATTATACACTTTAAAGTCTACATGGTTTCTATACAAGGTGATCAAGTTAGCTGTTTCAATAAATTACTTCATTTTATTATTGAATGACTTAATGAATTAACCCCAGCAAATGTTTGTCAATTACAATATATCCTGCCTTAAACATTATCCACTAATATTTGAACTATTATGCTCTCATCATAATTTGGAAAACAGCAAAATATAAAATCTGGAAGATGTCAAATTTTAAAAATTAAAATAAAATTTTCAGCCAGAAGTACCTATTTCGCATGTAAGAAAAATACAACAGAGAATAACACTACTCTGTTTTTTGATAATCAAGTGGGGTAGTTTGGAATTTCATGGAGAGACTGGCTCATGCAGAATTGTTTATGCAGAAGAGTGGCTTGAATTCAGCTTATAGGATATGTACAGTTTAAGATCCTAAGTAGAGCCTGAAGGCATAGAATTAAACAGCAGCCACACATACACACATACAAATGTACAAGCATACATGCATCCATAAGTGAATACTGTATCTGTCTGGAAGGTTAGATGCTATGTTCTAACACCCAGCTAAATCACAAATTTAATTACTTCACAAAATCATTTCAGTAAGTAAAATAAACTCCTAATTGAAAACAGCTGATTATATCACTTTATATGGAAACCGTATAGATTAAACCTATATATAAAAAGGTCTTAATTATGATGAATATTTTCAAAGTATTTAGTAATTTTTAAATATTATTGAAAACACCAGAAAGCAAACCGGGATCCATGGGTCAGAAACACTAGATATGATAAGAAGTAAGAAAATTTACTTCCTGGAGGAGGAAAAGAAAGGTAGTACCTCAAAAACTTCCTCTTGTAAGCAAGGAGGGAGAGGGGTACGTCTAATCTATGATTCCTAAGGTTTTAGTTAGGGAGTGCTATCCTTTATCATTCTAAGCCTTGAAGTAGGGACAGAGTTGATGACTGTAATTTTCTGTGCCAAACCAGGTAGGGTGAAAACTGAGTAAAATATTACTTGAGCTAAATATTGCTTCAAACTGGCAAAACTGGATGATATAATCTTGTTGACAATAACATAGGCTTTTAAGTCCAGCATGCTTGGTTTTGAATCTTGACTTTACTACATTCACAGTACTTATTCATTCAACAATATACATTTTTTTTTCAGCATTGCCTTATGTCAGGCAAAATACTAGGCATTGGTGGTAAATTAGAGAGCAAGACACACATTATCCTTATTCCTTTACAGTTGAATGATGGAGATAGACATTAATCAAATAATCTTACGAATAGCGTAATTACATAAAGTGGTAAATCAATCCAGGAAAATTTTCTGGAAGCTATACAAGTATATTTTGGATGTAATAAGTCTGTGAAATGGTTATAAAATAATCCAGGAAAGAATATAGTTCTAAGGTCGATGGAAGTATGATACTATTTACAGAAAAGCAGTTGACTTGATTATAGAAAGTCATAGAAAGCATCAAAAGCCTAAGAGTAGAAAAATGAGCTTATAGATTTGGGTGCAAGTAGACCATCCAGAAATTGATCAGAGGACAAACGAAAGCCACTGAAGACTTTTAAGCAAGAAAGTTGCAAGATGAAATTTCTATTTCTAAACGTATTTGGACTGAATTAAGAAAAAAAATGGATTGAAAGATGTTTGAGTGTATGGAGAATTCAGTGAATGGACTTTGAAACATACAAAACCACAAACAATAGCCACTTAAACAAGGAAGCGCTAGTACAGATATACTGGGGATGATGACTCCTTCATATCTGGCTTTTGCAACTGATTGGAAGAAGATGCCAGTCACAAAGCTAGGGAATACCTAAACAGGACCAAAATTAATTGCACTTTAATTTGAGTAAATTTGGTTTAAGATGCTTCTGAGATATCCAAATGGAAATTGAAATAAACTTTTGGATATAAAGATGTGAAGCTTAGAGAGTCCTGAGTTAGAAATATTAATCTGAGGGGTACTTGGCTGGCTCAGTCAGTGGAGTCTGTGACTCCTGATCGCAGGGTCATGAGTTCCAGCCCCATGTTGCATGTGGAGCCTAATTAAAATTTTAAAAAAAGGAGAAGGAGAAGGAGGAGGAGGAGGAAGAAGGAAGAAGGAAAAATATTAGTCTGATATTTATTGGCTTAGTTGGTTACTAAAGTCACAGGCATGAATGAGATAGCTCTAAGAAAGAGATAATAGAGTCAGGATAGAAGCAATAATTGGATATATCTTTGAAACACTAATATTTAAAAGCCACTTAGAGCCAGGAAAAGAAACTCTACCAACAGAAAAGGGTGAGAAAAACCTGGAGAAAACTAAGAAGTAGGTGCTTCAAGAAAGAATGGTTAATAATGCTGAAGGCTCTTGGGACGTCACATTTATTGAGGATTGAGAATTGTCAACCATGCAGCTTGTGAGAATCAGGTAATTGGAATTGTGGGCACACAAACCAGGCTGCAGTGGACACATGTAAAGAAGTAGATTCAATGTAGGGAACTCTTTGCTAGGCAAGGAAAAAAAAAGAAAAGAAGATAGATGGAAGAGGAAAGGAGTCAAAGTAGTATCTTTTAAAAATAGGATAGAATTTTAAGTATGTCACAGTACTGATGGAAATAATACACTAAAGAAGGAGAAATCTAACAGATAGAAAGGAGAAGGAATAATCAAAGGACGGTTGACTGAGTTATTTCATGTCTCCTCCTTGGTTTTCTAAGCCATAAAATGGGAAAAATAACATTTACCTTGTAAGACTATTCTAACAAATAATATAATGTTGGTAGAATGCTTGGTAAAAATTTTGGAACACAGAATGCATTTAATAAATTGGTGCTTAAAATGAACTCAGCACCTAATACAGTATCTTATATATGTTCGGTGGTCAATAAAATCTTGTTAAATGTTGAATTAATGTGATTCTGTTACATGATTTTTGATTAGTTGGGAATATGAATGAGTCTGATGGGTATTACTATATACTGGATTACAAATACACTTTGGATACTTATTGACGATGATGGTGATATTCAATAATTGTCCTCTGATGATGTTGATGTTTGGGGCATTTGTGTTCACAGGGTACTATTTTTCTGCCTGGAAATAAAGTCCTTGAACATCCCTGCAATGAAGAGAGCCCAGGAAAATTCCTTTTTGAAGTAGTTCCAGGTAAGGTACTTTTCTGGTTTGTTTAAGTTACTGCCATTCCGTTTGGTAATAGAGAAAACCGACAACTTTTATTCTTTTTTACTTGTGTCTATGAATATTAATTTAAGAAAGCAAGTTTCAAATTTGGTTAGATTTTACACAGATGGTGATTCCAGATTTATACACCAGTACAAAGGATTGTATACACACACGCAATGCACGTATGGCCACATGACTATTGGGTATCCATTCATCCATGAGACTCCAGACTTGACCAGAAGATGTTGCACAGCATTTATAAGGGACTGCTGGAGACAAAATTGGTTTTACTGTGTTCTTGTGATATGAAATTTGGCAAGGGATTATAGGTAGAATGCCTTGCCCAGCTGATTCACGGTCATATTTCTCCACGAACTGCATCTTGAAGGAACCTTTGCTATAAAAATAAAACAAAACAAAAATCTTCCTTCAATGACCAACCAAGCATTGCAGCTCTGTACCTCAGCTTTGCTCCCAACCAAACACTTCCACATGTTTGGCTTGTAGTATTGAGGATGTCTCTGCCAAGCCATTAGATCCTGCAGTGCAATTTCTTCAACATCTGTTCATTTTTTTCTAGTCATCTGTAACCTACTCACTCAGAGTACCTGATCTCCACTTAAATGTTTCACTCACCCAATAACAATTTCTTTTCAAGGCCACAATCAACTTCTTTGATCAGTTCTTTAGCCCTTCCTTAATCCTTGATGTAAGAAAAAAGGGTAGGAGTGGTTTTTATAGTATTGGTGCTGGCTGACCCAGTTCATGCGATACTGACTCTGATTTAATCAGTCTAGGGTGTGTATGAATATATTATTTGGATGACTAATATGTAATGCATATCCATAATGCTGGCACAAAGGCAGTCAATAAAACATTTTTCTCAGATTTATAAATGCTGGGAATCTAAAGTGTGGAAGCATTTTTTTCCCCTTCACTGAAAACAGCTGTAGCCTAAGTTCATCTGGCTCATGATGGAAGCCATGACTAAATGTTAATTAATGCAGCTGAAGTGCGGAAAGGTTAGTCAGATGCATTGTGTTATTTGTCTCCCCCCAGGGAGAACACATTGTAAGAAACCTGAATCTCGTTTGCTCTATTAAAATCTTTTTATACTTACATTTTAGTGGAATACCCTGTATAGAATCAAATTCCAGATGTTGCAAAGTCTTTGAAGTATCACTAGAGGAAATTTCTTTCCCTATTTATTCACAACATTAGTGCCTATTGGCTTTTAAGTGAACATGATATTAAACTGATGACTTTGACTCTTTGTCTCCAATAATACTAAAGGTCTGTTTTCCCATTCTGTCTACTAAATATGTAGAGATTTCATCTTTTGGTGAAGGTGTTCTGATATAACATCAATGGATATTGTCAAGACTGTTCTAGACAGAACTGGGTCTTCAAGCCCAGGAAGTCTCAAAACTTCCCCCTCTAAGATTGTTTCTCTAAGGCATGCCGTTCACATGTGGAGCATATGACATGATGGCTTTGGATGAGCAAAGCTTAATACATTTAATACTGAGATGTGAAATTTGAAGGTTGTCTTTTCAAAAAAAAACCACACTCTCAAGTAAACTTAGGTTTGCTGCAGTAATTATGGAAATGAACATACTATGCCCATAGCTCATTTGAAAAGATGCTTCCTGAATCATTAACACAATATGTAATAGCTTCTAAATTAGGTTTTATAATTCTGGATTATCTTAAGGAGTGATGAGAAATTGTGCCAAATGTGTCTTTAAAGAGGGAGAAACACCATGGCTACATCGAGAATCCAGTGTTTGTGCCATGAATCTTGGTCATCAAGGCTTTGTTGGTGTGTCCCTCACATTAAGACAGGATTTCCAGACAAATGATTGTGTGTTTGTATGAAAATGTGGGAATCTGTATCACATGATCTTTAACCAATTTTTGCAAAATTAGGGTTACTAACTATACTTGACTTATTTTTGCAAATGAGACAGATAAGATAATATTTTCTAATTATTCCAATTAGGTGATAGCTGGGTATGGAGAATCTGCAAAGTTTCAAGAGTGTTTTCATTTGTCAGAAAGTGTGAGACAGGAAACATTACAGAAATGTGGTCAGTGTCTTGTACAAAACTTTCTTCTGTAGGCCTTCCTAGCAGCAGATTCTTATAATACATACTGATTCTATGTTGGCGTTCTCTGTGGAGTTCTCTCAATCATCAGTTTTGAAAACCCATGCTACAAATGATGTTTACAGATCCAACATGATTCTACCTTTATGTACAAGTACTGCAAACCCAACTACCCAAGGTATATCAATGGATAGAATTAAATCCTTTAATTCCACCTGCCTATAATGATTTCAAAAAAAAAAAAAAAATAGAAAGCTTCCTGAAAGCTCTTTGCCAAATATCCTAGTACTATATATACATACATACATTTGTATGTGTTTGTGTAGATATATATGTTTATGTATATATGTGTGTATATATATATATAGTTTATCTGTATATTGCTATATATGTTTTTAATTCTTTATATTATAGAATATTATAAAATATAATCTTTTACATAGAATTTTTCATAATTTATATATATCCATATATGCTATGTAGATAGGAGTTTTTGTTTTGTTTCATTTTGTTTTACTTTAGTCTGAAATGTCCTCTGATATTAAGCAATAGTCATGTGCAAATAATTTAAAAAAGATTTTACAGTAGAATCAAAGTTCTCAGATTTTTGTGTATGACTTAATTACATTAGTGTGTATAGTATATTTCAATGCAGGCTTTAAACTTCTGTAAAAATCTATCTGAAAACAAATCTACCATAATTTAGGATTAATTTCTTTTAGACTTACTATTATCTTATGAAATGAATTGTCTCTGAATAATGCCATGATTATAGCTTTTCATCTCAGTTTTTTTCCTATTTATCTACTTGTTATTCAAAAAGGAGATGTTAGCCAAATTGGCAAATTTGAAGGTTTGCAGCCAGTCATGCCAAATTTTAGACTGGAGTGAGCTTTTATGGCCAAGTGCTAAACTTTTGGGAAATGTGGTTGAGAAAGGAATGTTGGCAGAATTTAATGTATAGTACTTGAAGTAAGAAAATGCAGTCTGTCTTTTTGCTTCTTACATGTGTTCTGGGCAAATTTTCCTTATGATGTTTAAAAAATAAACAGAATAATTAATGGATGTTGACGTCTCAACCTTCTTTGAAAAGTACTCTGTCAGAGAGAGAAGACATAGTGATTCAGAAGAGGAAAGGCAAAAGGAGACAAAGAAATGTGTACTCCTTAAGTGTTAGGAGCCATCTCTTTCTTCTCATCATGGTATTTCTAACACACGGTACAGTATGATGCAGGGTACTGGATAAATACTCATTGAAGTGTATATGCTTACCATGTTCATGGTGGACTCTTAATCATGTGGAATGATTTTATTGTCCACAGTAGCTACTCCTAAGTTGGCTATATTGAACTCTTATTTCCTGCTGTGTAAGATCTTTCCATCACCTCGTGCAGCAAAGACCTTTTTGTGGCTCTAGTGGCTGAAGTAGAGGGAAATTCCATGTGTCCTCTTTCCTACTTCTCTGCCTTCCTTTCTGATAATGTTACCAAGAGAGAAATGGAAGAAGGTAGAAGTCTGTCTACCCAGAAGCTATTGCTGGTAGTATAGCCCCTTAACACTGGCTATTACATTCCTTTCAGACAGTTGACTTGCTCATAGAGTGCATTTGTGGATTGTTCAGCATCCCTAGAATGGGAAATCCACTTCATGTGGTAGAATTTTCTGCCTTAGGCAAGGTCATGTTAGATGGAATACCTTCAGAAGAGCTCAAAAGCCAGCTGCTTTCTTTGTGCTTCTTCAGCTACCAGAAAGCTCATGTCTGCCAAATAGGGATAATGTAGGCTGTTTCACCATTGCTGCCACCCTCAACTCTGTCATCTTGTCCTTTTCTCCATGAAGCATGAGCTTGAGATCCAACAGATGCAAGGACTTGCTGAGCTTCATGTCACTCTACAACTTGGAAAAGGGGTGAATGACAGCTCTAGCATACTTCAGAACTTACCAGCAACTCTCTTGTGCTTTTCTGGCTTGTTCTGATGGTAGAGAGAATTTCTTTTCCTACCCTTGAAAAAATAAGGTTTACACTGAAAACTTTTCTTCAGGAGGCACTTCCTCTGTCCTACTCTTCTTGTCATAGTAATGGTCAGGGAAATGTTGTTTGGATTTCTTCTCTGAAATGCATTCTCTGGGAGGCACAACTTCCACTGTGTTTTTAACTTAAAATGGGAGTTTTTAAGTTTTTTTTCTTCAGATTCATGGAATGAAATTGCCACTTGCAACAACACGGATGGAACTGGGGGTGTAATGCTAGGTGAAATGTTAGTCAGAGAAAGGCAAATACCATATGATTTCACTCACATGTGCAATTTCTCATGTCCTGAAATACAGAAAACAAAGTGGTGATTGCCAGAAGGGAAGTAGGTGGGGGGGATGGGTGAAATAGGTAATGGGGAGTAAGAGTACATTTATCTTTCTTTCTTTAATTTTAATGTTTATTTACTTTTGAGAGAAAGAGAGAGAGAGATACAGAGGCATGAGCATGGGAGGGGAGAGAGAGTGGGAGACACAGAATTGGAAACAGGCTCCAGGCTCCGAACTGGAAACACAGAGCCTGGTGAGGGGCTTGAACTCACAGACCATGAGATCATGACCTGAACCGAAGTCGGACGCTTAACTGACTGAGCCACCCAGGCGCCCCAAGAGTACATTTATTTTGATAAACACTGAGTAATATGTAGAATTTTTGAATCACTATATTATACACTTGAAACTAATATAACACTATGTTATTTATACTGGAGATAAATGATAGATTCTTGCAAATGAGATCTCAGCTGATGCTATGGGGAACTCCAATTGTGAGATGCTCCTTAGGGCTGCTCTAAACTCAAGGAGCAGACCTTTTTTCTTGGCATTAGCTAGTCTACTTGTTTA